AGACCATGACTTCTGTCTTTTCTTCATTAAAATGCATCACTATAGTATCATCACATTCTCACTTCCAAATCATAAAATACTACAGCTTGACCAGTGCCCCTATGATTTATAATATGACACCTTCTAGTGTAATTTCTGGATGTGCAGGTCTCCATGGTCAACTTAGTAATAATAAGTTTGCAATGTCCAGTTATATTTGAAAATAAAACATGCAGGGTTGACTTTGTGACACGGTTGCACCTTGGTTAGGTTTAGGGACAAAAAACTACTTGGTTAGATTTGCTGATTAAGACTGTGATCCTCTGCTCACTTTATTTAAAAAAATGATGATTAAGATGATTAAGCAAATTCACACTGTAGCCCATTGACTATTTTCGCAGCTGAAACACTGTACTGTGATTTTCTGCTTTTGTAACAAAATAATGATTTTATAACCGGGCTCAAGCTCAACCACGGCAGTTTCTAAACTACTGAAAGAGACACTGCGGATGGACAAAGTTGAATCGCAATGAAATTGATCGCTCTCATTGCAGTCTTGGGTCTAGGAAGCCGGGAGACAAACCTCGTGCCATTATTGCAAAATTACACTATGACGGAGACTGTATGGAGATTTTAAGAAGAGCTCGAGATCAGGCCCCACTGAGTTACAACTGAAATCCGGTGGCCATCTACAGCGAGTGTAGCCAGAGCAAGAGCGGCCTTTACGGATGTCCGAAAACTACTCCGAGGACGACAAGGAGTCCGGTATGGTCTGCTCTTTCCAGCCAGATTCGAGTCACACACAACGGAGAGGAGAAGGAATTTTGGGATGCGGCTGACGCGATGAACTATGTGAAAAGGAGAATAATCCCAGGGACAGAGACTGAGATCTGATAAGCGCATCTCTAACCTAGTGGGAAAAGAACATTGTTGTTAAGTATCTGAGTCTTTATATGAAGTAAGATCTACTCCATTTCTGAAATACTGACTCTCCGTTTCGTATCCATATACAGTTACGATTAATCTGTCATGTAGGAAAGGTAGCGCGACTGTAGCGGCACATTGAGAATGTAACTACAGTATGTGTATGTGCGCACGTTTGATCAAAGTGTCGAAATAAGTACATTTTATTTACAGTAATCTGATTATTTTGCTCCAAATTAAGATGACCTGATTTATTTAACATTTTACTTTACTTTTTTTGTAGGCCCACAGTGTCCTCAGTTGATCAATCTGATCTTATATCCTGTGTGTGTTTTTAGTTTAGATACTTTGAACATGCCTATCCCCTATATGCAGTTAACAGTTTGGGATTTATATAATTTGTGGTGCTGTTGTTATACCTTGCCTTTATTTTACACTGTGTTTCTGTAGAAGCCTGTGTAGTGAACATCTGACAACCCCTGTCCATATCTGGATCTGTAAGCAGAGGCAATTACTAATACACACTATAGCCTAATAGGTATCTACTTTAGCATAGAGAACAGCTTACATAGCTGCTTGTTCGCCTTGTGCAGCTTGGTCCCAAAGAACTAACCTGAGTTCCCCGTTGCTCTGTTTGTTTTGATCCC